TAGAATAGAGTCTCTTCCCTGGTGCCTGCAGACGGAAGCAGCGCGACAGTGTTGAAAACGGATCAGCGGGCTTCCTAGTCGCTGAACTCATGTTGCTTTGCTGTCGTACAGCGGAGGGATCGTTCCTTTTCTCCATGCAAGATGCACAGCTCATGAAAGTGCTCCGAAGAGTTGGTAAACTATGCACACAGGTTGAACAGGTTGCCCCTTTCACGGTTAGACTTCTGAGCTGCATGTCTAAGACCCGCGAGCTACTCAGTCGGTCGGCTGTTTCTCCTTTTGGCTTCCTGTCACATGCTCTTCTCCTCCGCAGGCCCAGACTTGCCTGAGCCACTTCAACTTCGCTTCCTCCGAGTCTTTTGTAGAGTGAATCTGATGCCGCAGGAGTCAAGCGTTAGACTGCAGTGGAGCGGCGCAGATCCTGGAACCAAAGTTCTCCGATTCGTGGGCTCCGAACTCAGCCGATCGCAGCGAAATGAAATTTGTTGCGTTGGCCTGCAGAGATGATTCGGATAAGGCCAGCAGCGCTATTCCTCGGATGGGATCGCAATGGAGCTGGTGCGAATCATGCTTTTGCAGCGAGGTAGTTCGTGAGCTTGTCGGTCATCAGGGGGTTCTCAGAAGGAAACCCTCTCTTGCTAAACGCAGAGGGTCTTGTACAGGCAGGCACGTAGCAATTGTGGGGAAGATGATCCTAGAATCGTCTTTAGAAACCGAAGCTGCTCTTGGGTCGCCTGCCTTGACTTTTTCAACACCACTGCACTTGAGCTCCGAAGCCCGAGATTCAAGCAGGTGGCCGGGAAGCCGCTCCTTGGAGCGAGCGGGGCGCAAGAGGTTGCGGGCTCAGCAGATATTTTTTGCAGCTCCTTCTTCAAATTGGGGTTTCGATGGACCCATGTACTGCGACAGGTGCCAGGAGTCGCGCCGAAAGAAGAGCAGGGGGAGCCCCATTGTGTGAAGCCGCGCGCACTTCTCTTCTCCTCAGACGGGGCCCCAGGACAGTGGTTTGGCTTCAGGGTGTGGGTCAAAGCTGCAGGGTTGTGTGCCGTGCTCCTGACTCCTGATCTTGACCTGTAAATAGTCCTCCGATCGTGAGGCGGGTGAGCTTTGAGTTCAGGGCGATTGCAGGGTGACGCTTCTCTATCTTCTCAAGCTTGGAGGGCACTGTGCCCATGTCCAGTCGAGTTTTCGTTCGCGTGCCCCTGCAGGTCGGCAACCAATGTCTGCCCGTGGTGGAGACGTGGTCGCATGACTGCAAGTGCAGCGTCCATCACTCTACTCAGCTTCGAGATCCAACCGTGCGTGGCCATCGTCCGCGCCGTAGCTTCTTGCAAGACACGTCGATGCACTCTATACTGTACTGTACTACAGCTTTTATACTATAGTTTAAGATGATATACTATGCAGAACAGAACACATCATGCAACAGTCGGGGCTCCAGTGCGGCTTGTTCGATCCCATTTAGGTTGCAAGAGGCGGACGGCCTCGACTTTGATGTGGCGCTGGTGTAGGGAAACCCAGTTTCGCACTGTGCCACGACAGGCTTGCTTATTCAGGATCTTGATAAGCATTTATACGGGCTATGCTACGGGCAGTATTCAGAGGGCTACTATACGGGATGCTCACAGGTCATCATGGTTCAAGTACCATTCGACACACTGAGCTGGGTTTCCAGCGGTCCCACCCCGCTAGTCGAAGTGCTCGACGGAACAATCCTGGGTGCAATGCTGTGGGTCTTCGGGAGGAGGGGCACTTCTGTCGATATGCTACCTTTGGACTTCTGCTGGCCCTGGAGATTATTTAGGCTGGGCACTGCCAGCAGAGGAAGGCTTGCGAGAATGCAGAATTGCCAGAGCTGGACAAGGGCCGAATTGCATTTCGTTGGCTCAATGTAGCTTCGTAGTGCTGCCGCTGCACGGCTTACGCAGGCTAACCCTGCGTGGCTTTGTCGAGAGTGAGTGTCACACAAAACCACTTCCATCGCGCTAGCCCTAAGGTTCTACAAGGAACCCTCAGCGCCAGTGCTCGACACGCTGCGGCAATGGGAGCGCTTCCCAGGCATGGAGTTTGGTTTCGTTGTGACTGCAAGGGGATTTTGGGTTTTAAGTGAACTCAAGCTCAATGCACAGCAGAAGTGGTGGTCATCTCAGGTCTTTTTCATCAAGTTCCATCTGGTCTAGTTGATTCTTTCAGCTCTTGGTGCTAGGGAAAGCTGCTTGTGTGGGCTGCGTTTCAGCCTCGCACAGCTGGCGCAGGTGTGCAGGTGTTTCAGCATCAGGGCATGCGTCTTGCCTGCAGTCGACTTGAAGGGGTGTCAACTAAAGTCAGCTAAAGCAAGATCGCCATGTTGCCTGTCTAGGCATGCGAAATTCACCAGACCCAGGAAGTGGCCCAACTTCAAGTGGTGGCTGGAGGGCCAGGGTGGTGCCGCCGCCGTGGCGGCCAAATACGACGCTTGGTCTTTGCAACTGCCGGAAGCAGCGGATTTCGGCTTTGAGGGTTTGGGGTTTAAAGAGAGAGCCAGGTGTGCATGTGCTCGGTTGAGCGCTCAGGAAGGTTCAGGCTGCTGCACCAGACTGCAGCCAATGAAGGGCTGCGAAACAAAACATAGAGCCGATTTCTCGTGCTGTCAAGTGAGCTGCTCACAACTTTCGGTGGAGAAGCGCTCAGGACTACATCTGGGTAGTGGATGATGATGTCCGTCTTCCCACCCGTGAGATCGCCAAGATGTTTGACATATTGAGCCTCAGTTCAAACTTACGGTAGAAGATGGCTGCTCAGAGAATGAGAGTTGGCACTAGTAAGTAGTATCGTCGTTGCCCATCTTGCGAAAATCTATGTGTCCACGACGAAGGCATGCCGAGAGTTCCTACCACGAACGTCGCTTTGGAAGGGATCTGATTAGACCTTGCACGTCTGAGGCGTGAGCACGGCCAGATCGAGGTGGCGTGCCCTTCTTTCGACAAGGCCCTCCAGCCCCCCGTCGGGGTCTGTCACGGTCTGAAAGTTGTGATGCGAGCAGATCCCTCCTTGTTCTTTGTTTCTTCATTGCAAGGGAAGCGATGGTGTGTGGCGCTTCTTCGACGGGCATGACCCGCGACCTTCGGCTGCACATGGCCGGGGCGACTGCATCCTCCGCCAGCAGTCTTGGGCAGGGGAACATGCTTGTGAAGTCGGACAGTGTGGAAGCTGGGTGGACAAGCACTTGTAAATGTTCAGGGGCATTCGGCATGAGAGATGAACGCAACGAGAGAACCAACCTTCTCGGTTTTACAGACACAGCGTCATCGCAGAGCTAAGGTTTCAAGCTTCGCTTTACCAACTTCGTGGAGTGTGGCTTGGCCTCGAGACATCCGGAGCCATGCGAGCAACGCTTTTCTCGCATTGCCTCTTCTGCAGAGGCACCGCGCCAATCCTGAAGAGCACAATGCTCCAGAGCCTCGACTTGAAAAAAGGATGCTGCGCACGAGCGCCAATTTGTGAAGTCTCCAAGCGGGCTGCTGTTGTTGAATACTTCCTCAGGAATCCACGATTCCAGCCGTGCTTGCGAGCAGTGAGAACAGGCTGCGCTGGAAATATCGCAATGTCGAGACCCAGACACCGAGCGCCCCGGAAAGGCTGCTTCATTGACTTCTGCTTCCATCCCGCAGCTGGTGGGGGTGCAGATGTCGTGGCAGCAGCTTGACAGCAGGCAGCAGGTGAGCTTGACAGACGAAGGAAGAGGGAGGGGGCCTGTGGTGTGGTTGGTGAGGGTAGCGCAGCTGGTGACTCAGCGCTTGACCGCCTCCACTTGCAAGATTTGGCTTGGCTTTGCACCAGCTTTTGGTAGAGTCTTGCCGAAGCCAGGTCATTGATGCTGTGCAATGCCATCACCCTCCAAGGACTGCGCTGTTGTGTGACTGCAGGTGTCCGATGGCGGCTAGAGTGGCTAGAGTACACGTGGGTCGACATGCGACTGGCACGAAGGCTTTGAGAGGCTTGTTCGGTCAGTCATGAATCTTCTCAAAGCTCCGCCAGACGAATCTTGGATGAGGGCTGTGGCTATGACTCTTCAGGACAGCAGATCACCCCAGTGAAATGCGGCAGGTGCAGGCAACCTCGGCTTTTAGGCATGCCTATCTCTTGTCTTCCAAAGCTTCGTTTGCCAATAGAGGCTTGGCACGACCACAAGAACGACGATGTTCTCTTCGAGAAGGCAGAGCCGCCCTGAACTAGAGCGCGGGTATTCATGGGGGGCCAAGAGCACTTGATTCTGGTTTGCTTCGTGGTGCTCTCGACACCTCAACCTGCCCCAGCCTCTTGCCAGGAGGGCGTGCCCAAGGAATGGTGGTCCATCGAGCCCCGTTTCTTTGAACCGAAGGCACTTCTATGCTTCATGGTACCACAGGGGGCTATACTGTCCCAGCATGCTAAAGGTGCCTGGCTCGATCTTCTACGTATCAAGAGGTTCCTCAATTCCCTTACGTCCAGGTGCTAGGTGCCATTCCAGCGACGCCATAGCGGTCATCGTCAACCAATGAGCTCTCCGTTTCCACGGGCCAGGCATCTAGCAGCAAATTTAGCAAGTCCTGCAGTATCAGCAAGTGCGCAATGTGCAGGGAGTGCGCATGCAGGAGTCAAGTGATGCTAGATATGCTAGTAGCCTGAACATGTCCCTGAGGAGGTAGCCCTGTGCCCCGTGCCGGAGCTTGAGTCGGTGGCTTCGCCCGATTTTCAGCTTGGACTTCGAGGCCCTTGCCGGCGGCTCCAGGAGCCTTGCGCAGGACGACGAGAGCACGCCAGGCACACAAGGAGAAAGCAAGAAAGCAGGAGGAGCCTTGGCCTTGGCTCCAAGCCAGCAGATGGCATGGCGTGGCAAGTTAGGGGTCTCCATGCGGGGGAAGCAGAGAGGAGCGGTCTCGCATATTGGATGTCAAAAAGGAGCCGATTCTGGACTAGTTGCATATGGCTATGACGCACACTGGAAATGAGGCTTTCCGCATTGTCGTAGCTCCTGTCAGGCTTCAAAACATCCGCAAGAATGGGCGCAAGGAGGCACTTGAGTCGCGTGTGGGATTGACCAAGAAGGGTGATCGGTTCGAGCCTGCGTCGATGCCTAATCCGAATCCCGCTGTGTGGGAGTTTCCGAAAATTAGGGGTACCTTACTTAGGGGTCTTCATAATAAGGATGCTACTACTTACATAGGGTGCTATATCAGGGCCCCCTGTTTACCGGAAACTCCCACGTGAGGCCTGGATGATGTGGGATGGGCAGATCAAAGGGCCCCTTGGCCGCTCAGGGGTTTTCCCAGCCACTGCTCCGCCAAGAGATTGTTCCGGTCTCGTGGTGCCGTCTTGTTCCTTGTGGCTATGTCTGTTGCCAGAATGGCGAGTCTTACTAGTAGCACCACTGCTCTCACCACAATGACTATTGTGACTGTTGGCTGACTGCTGCTTGCGTTCTTATTGCCGATGGCTTGTCTGCTTTTCTATCATGACCAGCGGGCATGCATGCTCCTCAATCTGATCTTGCGATGCCAGGCTGCCGGTCCTCCTGCAGCCCGTCATGCTCTTGGTGCGCCTGCCGGGGGCCGCTGGTATCCTGTTACCATAGGCAAACCTTCATACACCGACACCCCCAGGCACTCGCACATGCAAGCACTCGCACACACATCTTACGTATCTGTACGCACACCATCCCCCCCAACTTGGCACCAAAAAACTCAGGGACCGACCGACCGACGGATCGATATCCACACAAGCATACGTCCCCCCATGCATGCATACATGCATAGTCACACAGACACACATACATACAAACAGTGCATGTGCGCACGCGCACATACAGACATACTACATACATATATGCATACATCCATCCATACTTATATACAAACGCACACACACATTTATAAAGATGTGTATACGTGTCTGTAAAGAAGCGACAGACATGCACCCATACACGCATGTACATCAACAGACACGTACACGTGTGCAGACATATACAGATATACACATGTGTATACCACGTATACAACCTACATGCAAACGTATCCATACAAGCATAAGGCATAACATACATGTGCGTATACCTGAATAGGAATATGAATACAAGTATGAATGTAGCCTCTTTCCCGCCTTGCTTTCTCAGCCCTCTCTCTCTCTCTCTCTCTTTCTCTCTCGCTCGCTCGCTCGCTCGCTCGCGTCGGACCGTCTCCATCCGCCTACTGTACTTGCCCTTGTTGTTGCGATGTGTCCAGCTTGTCAATTTGCGGATCTGTCAGTTTGCCGAATGTGCTCGATCCAAGTTTTGAAGTTATCATGGACGAGTCCGTGCATAGTTTCGCTTTGTCCATTTCCACGAACAGCTGAGATCTGCTGCCGGTCTCATAAACGCTTTCCCGAAGCAACGGTGATGAATAGTGATGCTCACTGCCGGCCGGCCTGGTTCCGAAACAGGATCGCCTCCTTGCATACCGCCACAGTGTTGAGCCCTCAGCCAGAATCAGCTTTGCAACCCACGATTCGAAGTTCACCTTGAGACTTCGGATGCTGGCCCTGAAAATGGTGAGCAGAGCCCTACGAAAGCGAGGACGTGACGTTGCCACGGGAGGCTGTGTCCTGGACAGCTTCGGAGGCCTCCGGCTCTCATTGTGACGCTCCTGTGTCTAAACATTCACCTCGGGATACCTAAAAATGGAGTGAAGGAGTGGATTTTCTGCATGCTCGTTTCATAGAGCTGAATCATCGGCGTTGGTGCGACCTGCAGACCACCCCGCGCAATGGGCAGGTGGATATCTTCCTTGGCTTCTTGGCCTGCACTTGGCTGTGGCTCCGGGGTTAATCTTCCAAGCATGATAACCCCGCAGTCGGGTCGCGGAAATGCATCGCCACGGGGAAGAAGCTTACATCATTTGAAATCCCGCTCGAGGCAGTTTGGGGTTCATCCGTCCGGGTCGTGAGTCTGCGCTGATGAGAAGCACGAAGCGGTCCGGATCTTGGTTGACCGCTGATGCGAGCCGGGTGGAGAACGATGGGAAGATGATCCGGAGAGCGCCAAGTCTTCCCTGAGTCCTATCACTTCTCTACCGTTCCAGGCTCGTTCGCTCCATCCGTGGTGGCTACAAGCCCCTGGAATTCCGTCGGGATGCGCAGCTGCTTCGGAACGCCAGTCTTTGCTTCGGCATGTTTCTGCTAAGCCATGCTGCCTCACCCTTGAGGCGTGGACCATGATGGCAAAGAGAGCGGCGTATTTTCGGGCAGCGACATCACCCAAGGTGTGATGCTTAGCTCGACCTGGGAAACAGGTGTAGGACCACAGAAATATTTCTTGCCCCGGGTGTAGTCGCTCCTCCGCCGAGGTGACTTAGTCGAGGTTTGCCCGTTGCACGAGGCCTGGTTCAAGCACTTCCTGGGCTAAGTCCAAGATCTTCGATTGTTAAGAGTTGTCTTTTCCGCCTCCATTGCGACATCCCAGACGGTGTCTTCGCATATCACGTAGTCGCCGCAGGTGCCTGCGAAGCTGAGGGCCATCAGCCCGGTGCTTCAGCGCATCACGGTGCGCCCCCGTCTCGTGTGCTTGGCTATTCCAGGCGCCTGCCAGGCGCCCGTAGCTATCCCTAACTTGGGCAGCTCCGGATAGCCTTAATGAGTAGTCAGCAGTGACGATGATGCTGGTGGTGGCAATCCTGATGACAATCATCATGACGATGATGATGGCGATTCTGATTGTGGTGATGGTGGTGATGATGACAATGTGGATGACGATGACACCAGAAGCCACAGCCCTGGTGCCAGATACCGATGAGAATGGATGAGCAACGGTATGCCATCGTGCTGGGCTTTGGGAAGGTGGGGCAGCTGTACTGCAGCTGGGACGAGCAAGCTTTCTGCCTGGGTCTAGAGTCCGCGCTCGAATCTCTCATGCGACCGTTGTTCTGAGAACTTTGGTTGGCTACCCAAGCCGTGCGTATAAGTGAAAAGCATCTGGCTCAAAGTAAGCTGGGTGATGCCGTGCTCATCTAGAGACCCACCGGCGATGATCCACCTGACATCACCTGACTCCAACTCCAACTTTTCGGCAAAAGGGCTTGTGCTGGCAACGCCGACTTAATACAATACAGTACTTGTAACGTGCGTATCCCATTTTATGCCCGAGATTGCCATGCCACTTGGCCGAGGGAGTACATCACCTTGCGGCCTCGCTTCCTCAGCAGCCTCAAACGTTGCAGAGCCGGTTCCGTCTGTTTCTGCCAAACACTTTGCTGAATCAGAGGGTTGCCGGAGCTCAAGCCCGACTGCCATGGAGCGCCTTTGACCGAGCTTATGCTTCCGCAGCAGGCATCTGAGGGGCTTTCAGTCCCCTGTGGAGATTTAAGGCTGAAGGGACAGGCATATCAGATGCACTGTGCGCGACACGGCCATTCACATCCTGCACCCAAAGGTCCTGTCATGCGAGAATCTGCGAGAAGCGGAACGATGATATCAACGTGGGTAGATATATGCTCAATGTTGCGTAAGACTTTTGTGAGCATCCATCGCATGGGCTTGAGACTATAGCAGCAGGCGCATAGCACCGCGGCAGGCACCAGCGAAGGCGGCTCCAGCGCCCCCAGCGCCCGCGTCGCAGCGTGAGTTCCTAGCGTTAAAGGCGGCTGCTGCAGTAGGATAGTGCAGGCTCTTGGTGTTGCCGGTCTTCTCGCAAGAAGCTTCCAGGAGTTTGGGCTTGAAAGTTGTGCTTCGGTGCTGAGGGTGCTAAACTTGCAACGTCTTGCTTCGGGGTTCCTACAATGCAAGGGGATTCGCCACGACGTGCTGTTGGACATGCTGCAGGACCATGTAATTCGCCGTGTGAGAGAACCAGCCGGGCCTGAACTCATAGGCTATCACACTTCTATCGTCATGATTTGTCATGATTCGGTATGGTCGAACATGACTCTTGGGCAAGCTCTTTCCTGCGAACCTTTGCGTTGCACTCGCGGCTTTTTCGGCCCAATGGTCCGGTGCGGTTAGACGCCGAAAAGGGCGGCCCGGCGGAGGCCGTTACGGTGCTCTGCGATTGCCCGAATCGGGGTTGCAGTGTGGATGCTGATCCCAGCTGGAGGCTCTCTGCGCCCAGATGACCGTGCCAAAGCACCCCGCACGGAGCTGCAGGGGGGAGTGCGCTCTTTGTTGAGGTTGATTCCCAAAATCCATCCTTCTACTTATGTTGAGGTCAAAAGCCACCCTTTCACCCTCGGCAGTATTAGGACTTCACAGAGCGAAACGCTCGCTGCGAGGACCAATGGTGCGTCAGCGCCGGCCTCGACAGGCCCACGGGCGATCTGCGGGATGTTTGGGCCTGTTTCGTCGACGCATCGCCATTTCGCAAAAGGCTTTCTTGCGCATGATTTTCCCACAACGATCTCTCTCATGTCATTCCATGGGCCCTTTGTGGAGCTATTTCGTGGCTCATCTCAGAGCCTTAGACCCAGAGTCGAATGTCAGTCGTGCACAGGCCCTGTACTGCCACTGCGCTCAGCGCCAGCACCGCTGACTCTCTATGAGGCCGCCTTGACACGGGCACAGGGGCCTTCATATTTCCAGTGAGTTTCTTTTGGGAGTTCCATTGTTCCCCAAGAGTGTATTAATCAGGTTTATATCATACGCAATTATTGCACCTTGTTCCAGGTGGAGATGCGAGTGCATTTTTAGCTGCCACATGCAGCACTATTACATGGAGAGCCCGAAGCCACCTCACCAAATTTCCACCCTCAGGCCTTGGGTCGTATCGTTTTGGTTTTCTTTTTTTCATAACTTACGCCTTATATGATATGGCTTATATACTCTCGAGCTGTTCGCCGAGTACGGAGCGAGCTGCATGTCTTGTACGCAGAGGGATACACGTTTCTGTCTAATGCCTTTGTTGCACATCGCACAAAATTTGCGAGCACTGATGCGTGGTGTCGCTTCTACCACTCCTGTACACCACCATGACAATACCAGGATGGCGGCGACACCCCACAGTACCGAAGCTTCTTGGCCAGCACTCTGTGCTGAAAGCGTGATGTAACGTGCACAGCAGGAATTCAGATTGCTGATCCAGCCTTTTCGGTAGTGCCACATAGTCTTCTGCAGTTTGTGATTTACGTATGTCGTCAGGAAAACATGGTTTTGGTAGCTCAGGTGTCCAAGCACTTGTCCATTGAATGCGATACATCCACCCATGCCCACACATGTGCATGCGGCACGGGCGTGCCTGCGCGCAAGGATGTGTAGCAAAAGACTTGTCGGCCAAAAGCACCGTATAAACCACGCTACCAAGCAGGACCTAACAGACACCCTATCAAAAACCCGATAACATCCACAACAAACCTCGTAAAGCCCAAATATGCTCAAATCAAACTTCCCTCGAGAGCCGAGGCTCTTCGCGAAGTCGGGCCAAGGCTGCCTCACTGTCACCCAAGGGCTTAGCTGCCGGGGGCCTTAGCTTAGGTCCCTGCGTACCTGGGGTGATATGGTATTTGGAGGTTCAGGTTTTGGGTTTAGGGCCAAGTTTAGCTGCTGGGCATCAGGGGCGACCGACTCCAGGCGAAGTGCGAAGCCTGTTGCAAAAAGGGCCAAGTTTATCTTGAGGGTTACCATGAAGCCGACGAGACGATTCAGGTTTGAGGTGAGTTCGGCTGCATTCTTGCTTCTTCGCCATAACTGGTTTTCGCGCTTACCGTATGAGTGCACATCGGGCACAGGATGCAAAGTTCTGGGGAATGGACTTCGTTTTGGAGTCTAAAGCTGTTGCGCTTCTCGTTCATGAAACTTGGTTTTTTGCAGCACAGACTCGTGGTTCCCCTTGCCTTTGGCAGTAAACGCTTTGAGGTGAACAGTGGGTCAAAGCTTGGCGGCTTCGCAGAGCTCACGGCCACGCGTCCGAAAACTAGTTTAGCTCAGACCCTGCACCAGTGGGTGCTTCGGGGACTAAGACTCTCTGCAGTTTTCGCGGGCCAGTGGATATCAGTTGCATATAGTATAGTCTTCTGCTTTCGCTCGGCCTGAGCCGGTTCGGGTTCTGGTAATCCGTCATCATGTTTGAGCACACAGAACATGCTGAATGTGAACAAGCATGCATGCGGCAATGCATGCGCAGTCTTCGTTTGATGCACTCATCCATCCATGCATCCTTCCATCCATCCATGAATCCATCCATCCGCTTGTACAGAAAGCTTGGCGTGTTCGCCTGTACACCGTGACAGATCAAAAGTGCAGGGATTTGCAGAAGCGAAGTCTCTTTAGATGTAAGCTCTCGTAGGCCCCGGCCCTGCTCAGGCTTCAGCTATGGTGAAGTTCGAGGCCTACCACAAGCACCACAAAGTCTTGAGGAGCGCAACCCAAGTTCTTGTTCTTGGGAGCTTGACGTCTCCGCACGCACATGCCGCACTGGGAGGACGGTGACACAATCGGCACCGCAAGTGACGCTGCGCAAGGCGTGTGTGGGCAAAGCTGTAAGTGCATGGCCTTCTAGGATTGAGCACTCGAAGAAGATGGACCAACATGACATATTGACATATCGCTTGCAACGGTGTCTTCGAGGCTTGAGACTTTTCTGCTAGCGCGCAGCGCAAACGGGGGTGACCATACGTTGGGGCGTAGTACGCCCTAACAGGCGCCGTGTTGAACTAATATCGCGTCGCATACATGTTTGTGTGTGTGTGTGTACGCGTTTTTTTTATGTGTGCATGTGCGTTTGTATGTTTGTGCGTTTGCGCGCGATCCGTGAATGTGGTGAAGAGTGGCCCTTGCACCTATTCAGGGCTTGAATTCACGTGGAACAGGCTTTCTGCCGAGAGCACTGAATCGTGTTTGAGGTAGCTTGTGACGTTCTTTCTCGTGCGGCCAGATGCTGCCAGACCCTCACTGCCTTCTCGACCACCCTAAACCTATCTAAACCTGAAATCCTAAACCCCTAAGCTGCCTGCCTTGTGCGAGTGTGAGCGTCGAAACCCCGAAACCTCTAAACCCCTCCAGGAACCTCGCCCAGGCATGTCCGAGAGTGAGTGCTGAAACCGGAAACCCCTAAATGCGGAGCCTTGCCTGCCTTGTGCTAGAGTCAGAGTGCGAGGCGAAACCCCTAAACCCCTTGTCCGAGTGTGAGCGCCGAAACCCCTAAACCCGAAATTCGCACGTGCAACCCAAATGTGAAGGATCGTGGCCTGGCAAGCAGCGAGGAGCTGCCTACTAGCCCAGGCAGTATCGGATGGCCCGTGACTGCATGTTGGCTTCAGCCAGTGCAAGTAACAAAGAAGTATCTACAGTGTTACATGGTTGGCACATTGCATCCGTGCCTGTTGCGAGAGGTGCTGGGTTTTCCTGGATGACCTCGAAGCAGCGCCAGGCTCGACTCCCAAGAGCCCCGGGGTGATCATGTTCTGTAACTGCTAGGAGGGCGGGGAGCAACAGGAGTCCTCCGAAGCTGTCTTGCCCAAGTCTTCCTACAGTCTCAGACTTAGACTGCAAGGAGGTCGACGAAGAGTATCTCCGGCACAACACTCCTATACCATGGTATGTCGCGGGCACAGACTGTCGTTGGCCTTTGGCCATGCTTCGGTTGACCAATTAGAGAAGCCGTTGGAAGCCAATACCACTGGCAAAATGTATCATGCTCCTGGTCAATGGTAGCACATGGCATTCGCTCAATTCAGCTGTGCTTCTGTTTGGAACCAAGAAGCCGATCAGCAGACCAGTGCTGCCCACACCGCTTCAGACTTCTTGGACGATTCTAGGGCAGGCTTTTCGCAAGGTGGGCTTTAGCTTCGGTCTGCTGCCTGCAGATGTAGGGTCTGAGAACTCCAGTGACAAGGTATATAGCTGGTCTGGTC